GGGGCCACCACGAAGGCCAGCCCGCGCCAGATGGCTGACCGCGAGCTCGACGTCTGGAAGGAGGTGTGGACAGTCCATGAGCAGGGCGCCCTGGAGAAGCCACCTGATTTCGAGGACTGGGCCGAGCTTCCGCGGATGAGCATCAGTGACATCGGCCTTTACGCGCTGTCAGCGCTCTTCAGCCAGTGTGAAAAGCTGGGGGCGTGGCCGACGGACAGGGTGTACACAGTGCTGGTGCGCCTGCCCAAGGCGAGCGGAGGATGCAGGCTGATTGCCCTTGTGAACTCCTTCCTCCGTCTGTGGGCGAAGGCGCGTTCGACGATTTCACGTGCCTGGCTCGACCAGGCGGACGTGCCAAATCTCTGGGGTACTGGTGGGGCTGGCAAGACCTCGACCGCAGCAGCGTTCCATCACAACCTGACGGCTGAGATCATGACCATCAATGGAGGGCACAGCGTCACGGTGCTCCTGGATGCGTGGAAGGCGTTTGACAGCCTGATCGGAGGCAGGCTGCTGGAGGAGGCTCGGGCCATGGGGTTTCCGCTCCGTCTCATGTGGGCCATCCTCAAGTACCACCATCTGCCGAGGCGCATCAAGGCGTTCGGCTCGACGTCGAAGAGTTTCACGGCGCACCAGGGCATCCTGGCGGGCTGCTCCCACTCGATGGCGGTGCTGGTGGTGGCGACGGCGCGGGCGTTGAGGCGGCTCGCGACATATGACGTGATCCCGCGCGCGCTCGCCGACGACACCTCGGTGCAGTGGATCGGCACGGGCCTGAGAGGTGTGCGAGTACTGTGGCAAGCCGTCAAGCGTTTCAAGCACGATGTCGGGGATGTTGGCCTCGTGCTGCAGGGGCTCAAGTCGGGCTACGTGGCGACGTCCAGGCGGAGTCGTGATGCAGCGGCGCAGTATGCCAGGCAGCTCAGGATGGGATCGCAGCCGCACATGAGGAACCTGGGCCACGACCTGAACGGGACCAGGGCCTGCAGGAGAGTCGTCAAGACCAGGCTCAAGAACGTGAGGCCGCGGCTGAGGCGCGCGGCGAAACTACGACGTGCTGCTGGAGGGCGCGCGGCGTGCCTGTAGCAGACGGGCCTGCTGCCTGCTGCCGCCCGCGGAGCCGCGGTGAGTGGCGCGTCACCCTCCGAGCTGGTCGTGCTGCGCTCGGAGGCGGCCCGACTCGCTGGAGCCAAGGGCCGAGGTGGAAGCAACGCGCTCTACCTGGCCAGCGAGAGGAACCCGTGGTACGACCCAGTCTTCGCGGCAACTGTCGAGCCGCTCATGCACTACGCTGCGGTCGTGTGGAGGCAGGCGGTGTCCATGAGTGCGCTAGAGAAGGCCTGGAGGGTGACGCTGGACAGGGCCGAGGCGGGCGAGGACAAGCTCACGTGGGCCTCGGCACGTGGGCCGCTCAAAGTGGCCGTCCTGTCGCTCATGCGGATTGGCTGGGCGATGTTATCGTCGGTACTGGTTCAGCCTGGTGTGGGGCCAGTGATTTCGCTTCTTGCCACGTCGCCTCGCTTTTTTCGCGACCTCCTGAGGCAGGGGGTTCAGCGGTGGCAGATGCGCCAGATTGCCTCTCACCATGACGCGGCCGTGCCTCTATGGCCGCGAGGCCTGCGAGCGTGTGTGGGCGGGAGGGGGGCTACGGTGACTGGGGCGGGGAGGGTCGGAGCTCTGCGCGGCCTCTGGTCTGGCTCTCTTTGGCCAAAGGCAAAGTTGTATCGCAAAGGCATGTGTGATGATCAAAAGTGTCGAGCGTGCCAGCACGAGGCTGAGACGCTGGGCCATTGTTTTGTTGAGTGCCCAGCGCTGACGCAGCGCCTTTTGGACGATGAGGAGGATTGTGGTCTCGATCCCAAGCTGGCCTCAGCTCGCGGCGCCATGTTGGAGCATGGGCCGCTTGGAGAGGGCTGTCAGGATGTTAACTCTTTTGCCCTCTCTGTCGGGATCCCCAGGTGGCCCAAGGTTGAAGTGCCGCCGCCGCCTGAGTCGCCACCCTGCTTTTTCTGGGGAGATTGGGAGTCGGATCCTGAGCAGTGGAGTGATTGTGTTCTCACTGATGGCTCGGGATACCACAGTGAGTACCCTGAGCTCCGTCGGTGCGGGTGGTCCGCTGTCATGCTCAACGCCAATGGAGTCCCCACTCGTGCGCTGTATGGCGGGCTCGCAGGCGCGCAGCAGACAGTGGGCCGTGCAGAGCGCGTGGCGGGCTTCAAGGCCCTGCATCACATGCCTTCGGTCCAGCGTGTGCTTTCCGACCTACTGGAATGTGTGCAGGAAGGCAAGCTTTGGGGTCAGGGAGAGATTGAGGCCCTGATTGATGCTAGCCGTGCATGCCCTGCAGTGTGGCGCAAGCTGGTGGCGCTGAAAAGAACGCCGCCTGCCTTCGCATGGGTCCCTTCCCACAGGACCGAGGATGAGGTTCTCTTCCCCGCCCCCGAGGACCCTCCGCCTCCTCCTTGCCTCTGGGTCGTGGGGAATGACTGGGCCGATTTTTTTCGCTAAGCTGGGAGCCCTCTCGGTTAAGCTCCCTGAGGCCCATGCTAGGTTCTATAAGGCCTCGATGGCCGAGGCGGCTCAGTATGCCAAGTATATGTCGTGGGCGGTCCAGAGAAGCTGTCAGCTCGAGCTGCGGGCTGAGAAGGCAGTCCTGTCGGCCGCCCCGAGCAGAGCGCCCGAGGCAGATGGAGCCAGAATGGTGCTGCTAATACACGAGCATGACCTCATCGAAATTCGAGGGAAGCTCATGTGCCGTCGCTGCCGCCGAACGGCGACAACCGCTGAGGCACGCAGGCAGCTGACGGGAGGCACGGGTCGTCGGCGCGCGCCTTCTGCGATTTCTCGCATGCAGGCAAATCTGATCGAGGCTGCTGCCGGGGCCTCTGTGAGGCCGCCGACCGCCCGCTGGGGGTCTGTGGGGGGGGGGCGCCTAGTGGCCCTGGGGGTGACCGTGTGGTTGTGGCCTCGGCTGGGCCCGCTCCTGCTGCTGCGAGGCTTGGGCCTGCTGGGGCTGGGGGCTCGGCTGGGGCTTTCGCTGGCGCTGGGTCTGGGGGCTCGGCGTCTTCGGCCTCTGAGGAGGCTGCGCGCGTGGGGCCTGTGCCTGCCCGCGAGGACGAGGCTGGGGCTCCCTTGGGGTGTGCTGCGGGCTCTGTGGAGCCTGCGGTGGCGGAGTGGTGTCACGCGCCTGGGGGGCACGACGTTACCGCCACGGGTGCGGTCGTCTGGTGTCGGCGGTGCGGGGCCTACGGGTCTGTCAGGGTGGGGAAGGCCTTCAGCTCCCCCTGCCCTGACCCCAAGGACTTGCCCAAGAACAGGAGGTCAGTCCTCAGTGTTTTGCAACGTGGCAAGCACCCCAAGACTGGGCAGCCCCTCACTGGGTGACTGATCGTCTGGGGCTTTCACCTTCCGTAGAGTGGTGTCTGTGAGCAGACGCTTTCTCGTCGCCAGTTCCCAGTTCCTCCTCCTCGCTCCTCCTCGCTCGCTCCTCCTCCTCCTCCTCCTCTTCCTCCTCATCCTCCTGTTCCACCTCCTCCGTAGCCATTTTGACTCAAGGCCAAACTGGTGTTCTTTTCACTGCCGATCTGGGGTAGGCTCCCACAGCTTTCAGTGCTCTTCATATCTGCAGCCACACTCACGGGCGAGCTGCCGCCCACTGCAGCTACACTCACGGGCGAGCTGCCGCCCATGCCATATTCCTCCCTTGCGTGGCTCGCGAGAGCTCCCTGGGAAGCAGCGGGGCGATGGCCGCCGCAGAGCGCGGTGGAGAGACCGCCCCTGCCGACGGAGGAGCAGCCGCCAATGGCGGCACCAGGCCGCGACGTGCACGCCCTGAAGGCGGACGAGACTCGCCAGCAAGGTTCGCAAGCCAGTGCACAGTCTGCAAGCAGTGCCGATACCGATGGACATGGAAGGGGAAGTCCGAGTGCTTCTACTGTGGCAAGCAGCTGGCTCCATCACCTGCCGAACACCGCCAGCCCACAGGGGCTTGGGCAGGAGTCAGCAAGCCACCGCCGTGGAAGGAGCAGCCAGTGGCCGCCGCCCCGACTAGGGGCGCCATTCTCGCCACGCTCAGCACGCTCCTCAGCGACACCAAGCACGCCGAACTCGTCGGCAACCTCAAGGACGCCCTCCAGCAGCCCGACAAGCCGCAGTCTGCCCGCGCAGCAGAGCAGGTGCTCCAGTCGGCGCTGTCAGTCCTCACAGACAGGGAGAAGAAGTTCAAGCAGTCGGTCGACGACGTCGAGGCCGCCAAGCAGTGGCACGACGACGCCGTGGACAAACAAGAGCAAGCCGCCCTGGACCTCGTCCAGGCACAGAACGCATGCGCCAAGGCACAAGCTGACCACAGTGCCAAGCTTGCTGGAGCAGCACGCGGAGCACCACCTGTGGGGCCTCAGGAAGCCTTCAAGGTCGACAGCTCTATGTGGGACGATCTCTCCATCTACGACGAGGGCACCCGCGCCCAGATGGAACAGTGGAAGCAAGAGCTCGACCAGCGTCTCGCCGAGCTCAACAATGGCCAAGAACAAGTACGTGAGCTCCTGCGCCAAGCCAAGGAGTCCACCACCAACCCTGCGAAGCGAAAGAAGCCGAATGGGGAGGTACCGGTTGCTGAGCAACCTCATCCTGAGCCTGCTCCCGCATCGCCAGCGGAACAGCAGCCAGCAGCCGCGCCTGGAGGACAGGCACAACCTGGCACGCCAGGAGGCTCTGCCGCCCCACCTGCTGAGCCACGCCAGCCTGGATGGGGCCCCTGGACCCGCTGCAGCCGCCCCTGCCGCCGACGAGCCCTCCGCGGAGGACCGCAAGGCCGCCGCCGAGCTCATCGCCACCACCGCCAGGGCCAGGGAGCTGGCCCTCGCAGCTAAGGGCATGGGCAAGGGCGCCACCACGGTGCCAGCGGCAGCGGCAGGAGCCCCACCGTCGCTGGGGTAGCCGCAAGCGGCCGCATCGGCTGAAGGGGCCTGGGGGCCGCGCCAGCGGGTCCCCCGCGGCAGGTGCACCCGCCCCTAAGCCCGAGCAGGCAGCGCAGATCCTGTTCGGCAACATAACGGCTTGGGGCCCGCAGGCCGCGAACTTCTGTCGCAACGCAGGCTACAAGTGCCACCTCATAGCGCTGGCGGAAACGCACGTCGACGCGAACGGCCTCACGGAGCAGATTGGCAAGCTCGCCATGGGCGGCTGGAAGCTGTCGGCCACACCCGCGGTGGCCACCAAGCAATCGGACAAGGGGGCCCATGGTGGCGAGTGGATCCTCACGCGCAGGGGCGTGGCGGCGACCACGTTCGAGGGCTACAGGGACTACTGCGTCAAGCGCCATAAGAGGCAGCCGCTCGTGGGGTTCACGCCGACAGTCCTCCACTCCAAGAGCGGCAACATAGTCGTCCTGGCGGCGTACCTGCGCCCTGGCCTACGGGACCAAGGCGCGAACAGGGACATCCTGGTCTCCATCTCCACCTTCGTGGACATGCTCATGGACCCGTGGATCATCCTGGCCGACTGGAACTACGAGCCGCACTGGTGGGACAACAAGCCGTGGCTCACGCGCTGGAACGGCACCATCCTCACTGACCCGAGGTGCGAGGCGACGTGCGACAAGGGCTCGGGATCCGTGTGCGACTGCGCGATCGCACGGGCGGACATCGCCACGCACGTCGGGATCGAGGCCATGACGACGTCCCCTGGAAGACCCACTGCGGCATCCAGATCACGGTGGGCACCGCCGGGCCGTGGCAGTGCAAAGCTATAAAGGTCCCCGGAGCCCTCCCCGCACGAGCCAGACCCAAGAAGGTCGCAGACCCGAACAGCAAAAGGTCCAAGGCTCGAGCGGAGGCGTTGCGAACCAGGAGGGAAAGGCTACCAGAGCACTTGCGCGACGAGTTCGATGCCCTGTACACCAACCGCTAGACGGCCAAGGAGGACCCCACCCCCTTCGTCATCCCCCAGGAGAACTGGGGCGAAGCCGCCGACGAGGTCAGCAACTTCCCGAAGTTCGATGGCGCAAAGGTCGGCACCAAGGAGGGCAGAGGACACATCTTCCACAACCATGCGCCGAAGCTCGCGGAGAACATCAACTCGAAGCACGCGCAGTGAACCGCCACCCTGGAGCTCGCCTTCCTGGAGACGCACGCGGTCCCCGTCGAGGACAGGGCCAGGTACCAGGGCAGGGCAGAGGGGTACAGGACCACCAAGCAGACGATGAATGCGTCGCCTGGCAGAGCGTACCTCAAGGACCTGGAGGCCACATGGTGGCAGCACCTCAGCACCCTCGTGGTGAGGTACACCGCGCTGGTCACCAACGGCAAGGACCCCAAAGCCCGCCAGCACATCCACAAGACAGCCATGACAAAGCTGGACGACTTAGAGAACCCGGAGTTCTCCAAGGAGCACTTCGGTAGAAACACCGACCCGCAGGAGATCGAAGAGTGGAAGACCCAGCTCGCTACCCTCGAGTACTGCGACGAGGGTGACCTGCACCACGTCAGCGCCACCACCATGGAGTGGACCCACAAAGCCATGGCGAGAGCTGCAGGCAGAGCGCGAACACGTCATCTCGACTGGGCGAAGCAGGCGTGGAAGGATTCACCAGGCAAGCTGCACCGCATGGTCACTGACCCCAAGGCGCCGCGCCTGGAGGGCAAGCAGCCCCAGAAGACGGTGAGCGACCCATCCACGCTTATGAACCACTCTGCCGACACCTGGCGCTCCATTTGGGCGTCCGACAGCTACAACGCCAAGCAGATCATCAGCGCCTACGAGAAGGCCATGCGGCTCGCGACAGAGGACCCTCTCTCGCCAATCGAGCCGCAGCACATACAAGCCATCGTGGGCACCGCCAACCCGAAGAAGGCGAGAGGAGTCGACAACATCGGCCCCGTCGACATCCAGAGGCTCCCCGAGAAAGGGATCCAGGAGCTCGCCAACATCTACAACCAGGTGGAGGCCAACGGACTGTGGCCGCAGCAGCTCTGCGCCACCATTGGGGCCATGGCCCCCAAGCCCGCAGTTGGAGAGAGAATATTGGGCATGCTCCCCACCATCCCCAAGACGTGGGCCAAGGTCCGCTCCAGCGTCACCGACGAGTGGTCCAAGGAGCTCGGCGAGTTCTGGGACACCGCCATCACAGGCTCCAGCGCCTTAAGGGCAGCGCTGGTCAGGGCGCTGCTCGACGAGACGGCGGCGACCTTGGGCATTGCCTTCGCGTCCAAGTCTCCCCCAAAACCACCGTCGTCGCCTCCAGCCAGACGATCGCCTACGCAGTGCACGACGGCCTCAACCAGAAGGGCTACTACGCCAAGGTGGCCAACAGCGCGGTCGACCTCGGCATCGACGTGGGGGGCGCCAAGAGACGGGTTGTGGCTAAGGCAACCAAGAGGGCCAGGACTGCGAGGAGGCGCACTCACCGCATCGTTGCCAAGGTCAGGAAGCACGCCTCCCTCGCCAAGATCGCGAAGGGCTTGTGGAACACGGGCTCCAGGCCGCAGGGGACCTACGGCCACCAGATCATGGGCCTCGCCCCAGCGGCCATCCTCGACCAGAGGCGCCAGGCCGTCCAGGCCTCGGCGGGGAAGGTCCCTGGGCGCTACCTCTCCACAGCCCTGGCCGTCGCCATGAGGAAGAAGGACCCCGCCATCGAGCTCAGGCGCCAGTCGATCGCCGAGTGGCTCAACTTCTGGATGCAGCACCCAGAACACCACATGCGGGTCACGCAGGCGTGGAAGCTGATCTACGACAAATCGATCAAGCGCGGCAACAAGAAGTGGAGGAAGGTCATGGGCCCCATCTCCGCCATCCAGGCCATCCTCCTGGACGCAGGCTGGACCTGCCCGACGCCAACGGAGTGGTCACGACCACCGTGGGCAGGCGAGACCTACACCCAGGAGTGGCAGCTACCTCACAGCGGACAAGCCGAATGGGAGGACAAGCGCTACGACGTGGACCCTGCGGAGTTCGTCCACGAGTTCTGCCTGTCCCTCGAGAGGAGCCTCTGGAGGGATGCTGCCAAACATCAACATGGAGAAGGATTGCAACGGGGGGCCCAGACGTCCACATAGTTGCCAACGAGATGGAGAAGTTCACGAGGAAGGGCCAGCACGACCAGGCGGCCCTCAACCTCTGCGTGGTCGCGGGGGCGCAATGGCCCAGAAGCCGACTCATCGAGGCGG